TTTTTCACAGAAATAGAGCTTTCTTTTGGTGGTATTTAATCACCACTGGGTGTTTGTGCTACAAACAAAAAAAAGAGCAACAATTTGAAAAAAAGTTTTCTTTGTTTCAATTATAAAATTTGCAAACAGGTAATTTTTCTCCTTCACTGATGTGCATTGATGAGGCTACACTGATAGGCAGCCATGATGGGCACTGATATGCAACAATGATGGGCACTGATAGGTGGCACTGATGGGCAGAATTGACTGGTGCCACTGCTGGGTGGCACTAGTAGGCACTGATCAGTGCCCTGATGATCCGTGCCGATCCGTCCTCTAACAATTGCCGGTTATCGGCTGCACTTTCCTCACGCTGCCACAGCGTGAAGAAAAAGCAGCCGATAACCCGCAACTGCATTTACCGGTGATCTGCTGTCTCATTGGACACGACTGATCACGTGGTAAAAGGCAGCTGTGATTGGTCTTTTACCACATCAGGTGATCAGCTGTGTCCGAATGACACAGCGATCATGGAGATCGCCAGGGGCGCGTTCTGGGAGGACGTCATATGACGCCCTCCCAGAACTGGACAACCGCGCTGTAGCCGTCATTCGGCTATAGCCCGGTTGTCAAGTGGTTAAAATGAACCCCTCCAGCAGCACGCTGTCAGCACTGACAGGGCTTCCATTTCATGGGCTCCAGCCGTGTGACTGACCGAGCCGTGATTATGCCCTGGGCACGGCATAGAGCTCTATAGGAACAGCACAGGTATGTCGTTCCTTCAGAGCGCATGCGCCGGTGACTTCACTAGCTGCTGCTCACTGTGATATCTCCTAAACGGCGCACATTTAGGAGATTTTTATTTTATCTGCAGGGAAGCTTTTTATTATAATCTTACTTGTAGGTAAAAATCAACAGAGTTTACTACCACTTTAATGGGGTATTAATGAGCTGTGGTAATTTATGTCTTTAATAGCTAAAGTTCAGCTTTAAGCACCTTTCTGCTACTGATCTTCATGTACTATTTTAGCAAATGAGGATTTCTTGGAAAACACTGGGGGCCCTATAATAATTGCAAGTCATAGAAAAATGATCTTAACATGATCTAGATATTTCCATCTCACCTGAGGAATGGAACCACATTTACGATCACATGCATAAAGGTTCCATATGTGTTTCTACACAAGAAAGCAACTACAAAGTTTTTTCCAGATGGTACAGAGTTCCATCTGTGATTCATAAATTTGATCCTAAAGTGCCAGATTTATGCTGGCGATGCTCCCAGGCAAAAGGTACTCTTCTCCATATATGGTGGGAATGCCCGCTGCTACAGCCCTTCTGGAGAAAAGTTTTGGACATCATTAGACAAGTAACCACTTACACCCTAGACTTTACACCAGCACAATGTCTACTCCATCACTCCTCCCTTCCGGTGAGGATCTACCGTAAGTCCCTTGCATTACACATGTTAAATGCGGCAAAGCAGTGTATCCCTGTTCATTGGCGATCAGCCTATATTCCCACCGTACGAGAGTGGATTCTTAGGATCCAGAGGATTGCTGAAATGGAGGAACTGATCTCAGTGGCAAAAGATCACCCCGAGCGATTCAGGAAGACTTGGGCTTGTTGGACCCATTTCCAATCTACTGATACTTACCTTGGTTTGCTGAAGGATTGAACGAGAAAGACTTGGAGACACAGAAGGCCTCTAGAACTTTCACCTCGGCAATAACTCCATTAACGGTCATTCACTGAATTATATCGCTAATTAAAAAGATGGAATTAGATACAGCCAGGCTGTTACTAATAGATGTAACTGGTTTGGTTATGCTTATTTAAATATGAAACCTCATCATCCAACCACTTCCTTGTTTTTTTTTTTTTTTTTTTTTTCTTTTCTCCCTCTTCTCTCCCTCTCTCTCTCCCCATTCCCCCCTTCTATTTGTCATGTGGGTCTCCTCCCACCTCATTTTGATATCTCATCTCATATTCTTCCTCCATCCCCACGCTCCTCTCTTTCTTTTCTTTTCCTTCTCACATTTACACCCGCTTTTCTCATAATCTAATTAGCTATTATTCTCATTCGGTACGGAACACTCATAGCTATACAGATGTAACAATATTCTACAACAGTAGCCCACATTTTTTAGAGATGGAAATATATGTCATAGATGCCTTGTGAGGATACTTTTGTCGATCACTTCAGAATCCGCTTATGTGTACTCTCCTTACATAGAGCCTAGTGTATAACAATTATCTAAAGTACTTGCTGCTGTCAGTATTACTATGGTTACGTCTATCACTTTTGCCTTACTGTGGAACTCCGTCCTCTGATGTTCTACAAATTAATATATTGTCTTGATCCGTCTGCGTTACGGGAGAACGTACAAGAAATTTTGCACGGACTGCGATCCGTATCTGTCTATCATTTGTTTACCTTTCATACTTCAATAAAACGTTTTTTTTGGAAAAAAAAAAAAAAAAAAAAAAAGAAAAATGATCTTTCCAAGCAATTTCCAGGAAAGCAAAGCAACAAATGTTCAATCAAGACTTACAGTCAGGAAGATATGGAGATAACTCTACATTATACTCCATTCAATATTCTGAATCAAAATTAATTTCATTTGTCTGCCTGCAATAATCTGATTGGTTCTGATTGGACAGTATAGACTTCAGGAGGGCCGTGTGGGAAGATTATTTTGACTCCAAGGCTCAGTACTATTCATCTACAGCAGAAACATGCATTGTGGCAAACCATATTGTCCTCCTTCTTCCTCCCTATATGAACATACCGTTCTTCCTGTAATTGAGATATTACACTGGCACTTCTTCTCTGGGGCCAGCACCCCACTTTTATTAATGCTTAAGGGAATGTGAGGTTACCAAAGAGAATAACTAAAATATTTCTATCTCTGCCTTCAAACCCAAAAATGAACATTGTATTGTAGTTTATCAGCCCTAAAGGTGGGAATACACAATTAGAAAATCAACCGATCGGTAATCCGACGACCAAGAGGCATTCGGTTGTTGGTCGAAATCGTGGCCCACATTAACCAATCGAAAAAAATTGTTCTTTGGGCAATACGTAGTGTTGACGTCTTCCGTACAAGTGGAAGTGATGCTGTGTGCGTGTGACCTTGTAGCCACGCCCTTCCGGCCAGAACGAGCGATATACACGATTACCAGTATAATAGTAGTTTATTACATGACCTATATACATAAATAGTGATACATAAAATATAATCTGAAGAATTCCGGTTTCATGATCTCATTAGGCCGATCTACTTTTAACATTTGGATTTTTCGTTCGTGTTTACGAAGATTCCTTGGACATAAACATCCGGGTCATCTTCTGTTTCCGCTCATGCGTGATGGCGCTTGATAGATTTTTTTCGTACGACCGTCATACCACCGCATAGAAAATCGGTTCGCATGCGAAACGACAACATTTTCCACTACTGTTCAACCGGATTTTTTCATTCACAAAATCGTTATCGGTTAAAACATCCTGCTCATCAACGAAGAGAAAATACTTCAATCAGTGGTTCCGCAAAATGTTTCGTACGATTTTCTTATCGTGTGTACGGGACATTAGATGTGACTGCATTTGTTTTTTCTTTTCGTTTCACCTCATCTTCATCTAGTCAGTAACACTTCCTCTACTAGGGCAACAATGCTCACTCACCAGACTGTATCTATTGAAAAACAGCAGCATTGTCATCCTAGGAGAGGATTTTTGTTGCACTCACCAAACAGACATAAAAAATTAGGCTCCATGCACACTAGCTTTCTTTTTAGCTAAAAAAAAAAAAAAACACTGGATAAAAAAGGCAGGTAGTAGTGTTTTAAGCAGCATTCAGAAGCATTAGCCTTTTTACAGTACATGTAGAGAAAAGCTAGAAAAAAAAGCAGTTTTAGTAGCATTTAGCGTTTTTTTTTCTGCTGGAAAAACGCTCCAAAAAAACTCTACAAAAACAATTTTTTTTTCTGCTACTAGACACTGAAGCTCAAAAAATGCTAAAAGCCTAAAATGGTGTGCATGGAAACATAGGGTAACACTAGAACACTACTAAAACCACTAGTGTTGGTCATGATAACTTTAATAGTGAAGAAGTAAAAAGTTCATTTTTATGGTTTCCGTATACTTAAAAGGAGCTTGGTTTCATAGTGGAAGGCTTTTGTGGGGGAAATGGGATAGTCTGAGCAGTGCTGCAGTTCAGAACAACACATAATCCTCCTCTGCATATATTGCCCATTGTTATTCCTTCTGAATTTGCTCTCCTACACATATTGCCTGTTGTCAAACTCACCGATATGCCCCTCCTGCACATACTGCCCATTGTCATACCCTCCACAGTCTTCTCCTATACTGTACATAGTCATACCCTCCACTCCACTTACACATGCTGCCTGCTGTCACATCCACCACACTCCTCTCCCCAACATACTGCCCACTGTCATACCCTCCAAATTCCTCTCCTGCATATACTGCCCTGTCACACCCTCCACACTCCTCTCCTACACATACTACCCACTATCACACCCTCCACACTCCTCTCCTACACATACTGCCCTGTCATACCCTCCACACTCCTCTCCTACACATACTGCCCACTGTCACACCCTCCACACTCCTCTCCTACACATACTGCCCACTGTCACACCCTCCACACTCCTCTCCCTACACATACTGTCATACCCTCCTCCACTTTTCATACCCCTGCTGTCATATCCACACACTCCTCTCCCCCACATACACTACCCTCCAAACTCCTCTGTCATACCCTCCACACTCCTCTCCTACGCATACCGCCCCCTTTGTCATACCCTCCACACTCTCCGCTCGTGCATATACTATCCACTGTCACACCTTCCACACTCCTCTCCAACACATACCGCCCCTTGTTATGCCCTCCTCTCCTGTACATACTACCCACTGTCATACCCTCCACACGCCTCTCCTGCATATAATGCCCGTCATACCCTCCACTGTCCTCTCCTGTACATACTGCCCGTCATACCCTTCACACTGCTCTCCTGCACATACTGCCCACTGTCATACCCTTCACACTCCTCTCCTGCACATACTGTTCCTTGTCATACCCTCCACACTCCTCTCCTACACATACTACCCACTGTCACACCCTCTACACTCCTCTCCTACATATACTGCCCACTGTTATACCCTCCACACTCCTCTCCTGCATAAAACGCCCCGTCATACCCTCCTCTCCTACACATACTGCCCCGTCATACCCTTCACCCTCCTCTCCTACACATACTGCCCCGTCATACCCTCCACACTCCTCTCCTGCACATACTGCCCACTGTCATACCCTCCACACTCCTCTCCTGCACATATTGCCCACTGTCATACTACTCCGTCATAAACCCTCCGCAATCCTCATCTCCTGCACCAAAAACACACTATTGCTAGCTGAGAGCACTTCGATGTGATTTACTGAAGAAGCCAGTGCCATTATCTTCAAGCCTCAGAATTAAAATGAATTGCTGCATACTTCATCTGCCAATATTAAAAGGAAAAACATTATGAAGGACACGGGAATCCGAAACTCATGTTTAATTGCTTTAATTTAGATTACACGGTGATATCATGAAATGACTTTTGAATTCTATAAAATACAGATAAAAAAAAAAGCACAAAGCAATTTTCAGATATTAACATTTTCTCAAAACTTAAACATTTTAACAACAAAGAAATTAAAGCACATTTTCATACTTAAAATAAACTACAACCTTACAGCTATGAAACTAAAACAGAAACACAGTATTTACCCTTTAAAAAAAAAAAAAAAGAACACACAGGCACGCTCTAGACAAAATACGGTTGGACAATGACTGCACTTATTTATTTTTGCCTCCCAAGAACACAGATTTGTGTATAGCTATGGGGGCTACAGTGGTTGTGTTTGGGCCCTAAGGGAACCAGGGGCTTAGTTTAAAAGTCTCTGTTCTCACTATTTTTGGACCACCTTTGGCTATGACTAAAGAGAGGAGTGCTGTTCTACAAGACTTCATCCATGTGTGCAATAGCAGTGTGCTGATCACTTCCTAACCTTGGATCCACATTGGGTGCTCCTACGCTCATATGCTATATGCTGAAACAATTATCAATGCAAAGTGGATTAAGATATTAATATCTTAGTGGAAAAAGATTCTCACAGTGTTATGGGTGTCTCCAGTGTTTGTGTATGAGCTCTGTCAGTAGTTGATGCCCAGTGTTATGAGTATCTCTCTACATCAAGGATGCCTCCAGCATTATGAGCTTCTAAATATAGTAGACGCTCATCATCTTACCATCACTTTGGTACAGCATTGTGAACACATCTGGAGAAAAGATGCTCAAAATGTTTTGTTTTTTACTGTTGATACTTACCTTACCTCATACATTGGATGCGTGTGGTTCTGAATAGCTCATAGTTTGCACCTCTCTATAGTGGGTGATCCTACTGTTACAAGAATCTTTGCACAGTAGGTGCTCCTTTTGTTAAAAGTGTACAGTAGGTGTTCCCATTGTTAAAAGTGTCTTTGTACAGTGGGTACACCCAAGTATGTCTGCACAATGGGTGCTCCCATTCTTACAAGAGTATCTGTACACTAAGTGCTTCCATTGTTACGAGTGTACCTGTACAGTAGGTGTTCTGATTGTTAGGAGGGTGTCACTACAGTGAGTTCTCCCATTATTCCAAGCATCTCTGTACACAAGGTGCTCACATTGTTACAAGTGTATCTGTACAATGGGCGCTCCTATTGTTATGGGAACCTCCTACTATTACTAGAGTGTCTGTACAGTGGGGGGCTTCCATTGTTAAAAAAAAAATGGGGGCATCCACTGTGCAAAAATATTTGTAAGCCTCTGTACAATGGATGCTCCCATTTTTATAAGCCTCTGTACAATGGATGCTCCCATTTTTATAAGCCTCTGTACAATGGATGCTCCCATTTTTATAAGCCTCTGTACAATGGATGCTCCCATTTTTATAAGCCTCTGTACAATGGATGCTCCCATTTTTATAAGCCTCTGTACAATGGATGCTCCCATTTTTATAAGCCTCTGTACAATGGATGCTCCCATTGTTATAAGCCTCTGTACAATAGATGCTCCCATTTTAAAAGTCTCTTTACAATAGATGTTCTCATTTTTATACTCCTCTGTACAATGGATGCTCTCATTTTTTACTCCTCTGTACAATGGATGCTCTCCTCTGTACAATGGATGCTCTCATTTTTATAAGCCTCTGTACAATGGATGCTCCCATTTTTATAAGCCTCTGTACAATGGATGCTCCCATTTTTATAAGCCTCTGTACAATGGATGCTCCCATTTTTATAAGCCTCTGTACAATGGATGCTCCCATTTTTATAAGCCTCTGTACAATGGATGCTCCCATTTTTATAAGCCTCTGTACAATGGATGCGCCCATTTTTATATGCCTCTGTACAATGGACGCTCCCATTGTTATAAGCCTCTGTACAATGGACACTCCCATTTTTATACGCCTCTGTACAATGGACGCTCCCATTGTTATAAGCTTCTGTACAATGGATGCTCCCATTTTTATACGCCTCTGTACAATGGACGCTCCCATTGTTATAAGCCTCTGTACAATGGATGCTCCCATTTTTATAAGCTTCTGTACAATGGATGCTCCCATTTTTATACGCCTCTGTACAATGGATGCTCCCATTGTTATAAGCCTCTGTACAATGGATGCTCCCATTGTTATAAGCTTCTGTGCAATGGATGCTCCCGTTGTTATGAGAATCTATGCAATGGATGCGCCCATTGTATTGAGTATCCTTGTACATTGTTGTTGACTGAAGCACTGGCATACCTCCATGCACAGACATAGTCAAAGCACAGAATACAGAGTCCAACACTGTAGAAGACCATTGGCCTTGTCACACAAAGCAAGACATTTTGATCTGTCAGATCAACAAACTCTGTCTACAACTTCATAGTGCAAGGGTCTACCTGACCGATACGTTTTATAGTGATTGCTTAGGTGATGACGGTGATGCATAGTTGTAAATCAGTTTGATCGAATGATGAAAATCAGACTGAGTGACTAGCTTTAGGGTGAAGGCTGAAGGATAGGTGGCAGCTGTAGTACTGCATTACATCGCATGTGCAAAACATGTGGGTGCATAACAAAAAAAAAACAAAAATGACTACAAAGAAAAACAAATATACACAAAACTCATGAGAACAGAATGAAATTATCATCCTTGAAGAAAGATAAAGCCTAATGAGTGTCCTCAACTTCCGCCCATCAAAAAGGAAACTGGGAGGATTTTATATAAGGTGCTTAGTATGTAAGATGGCAGAAGCAACATGACCAGGTCTGCAAATCACGTCTGTACACTTATTTAAAGTGCACTTGTGGTGCTCAAGAAAGGATATGCTGCAAAAGAGGCAGATGGAAAGGTAGACCTCTTCCCTTTTCTCATGATCATGGGTTTCTTGTAATTTTAAGAGGTCATGTTGTGCTGTGTCTCTTTACTGATAAAGCTGCACCCACCAACACTAAACCCTAAGCCAGACTCTTGTTCCATATGCTTCCTGTGTTTGGTTGTGAGATATGTGGCAATTCAAGCAGTCATTTAGTATCCCAGAATATCAAACACCAAAAGCACATACAACCCATCTTTGCTATGCTGCCAGGTAAATAAAAGATGAGTTCATCCTAAGGCCCTGACTCCATCTCAGTGTCGTGGGAGCTTTATGGTACATTGGAAAGATTCCAACTGCATCTTAAATAAATAATGAATAAACCAGCACAAACATAGACCTCTACACACCATCAATACATAAAGTGCATCATAATAAAAAATTAATAAAATTAATAATTATTATTAATAAAAACCAATACAATTAATAATGAAAGTCCACAGAAAACACCAAAAATATTTTTTTGTCTGTGAAATATATATATATATATAACAAGTGAAAAAATATCAAGTGAAAAAATATTAATCAAGTGACTTTCTTCTTTCCCAAAGACTCTTCAAATACACCAAAAGAAACTTTCACCTTCCACCCGTGAGACCAACATCAAATACACTCACCAGATTTAGGTGAATGGGACACTTTTTAGGACTTTAAGGGATCCTAATACCCTCTTTGCTGTTCACTCTAAAGGGATCTTCAACGATACAAATAGGCTCCACCGTTCAACCAGGGAGAAAAAAACTTACATAGTGTACAGTGGCAATATTACACTATGTAAGTTTTTTTCTCCCTGGTTGAACGGTGGAGCCTATTTGTATCGTTGAAGATCCCTTTAGAGTGAACAGCAAAGAGGGTATTAGGATCCCTTAAAGTCCTAAAAAGTGTCCCATTCACCTAAATCTGGTGAGTGTATTTGATGTTGGTTTCACGGGTGGAAGGTGTGAAAGTTTCTTTTGGTGTATTTGAAGAGTCTTTGGGAAAGAAGAAAGTCACTTGATTAATATTTTTTCACTTGATATATATATATATATATATTTCACGGACAAAAAAATCTTTTTGGTGTTTTCTGTGGACTTTCAATATTAATTTTATTGGTTTTTATTAATAATTATTAATTTTATTAATTTTTTATTATGATGCACTTTATGTATTGATGGTGTGTAGAGGTCTACGTTTGCGCTGGTTTATTCATTATTTATTGTGGTTTGTGTTTTTTGCACAGTAGCAGTATAGAACCTGTGGGAATCTGTTGGCGCAGGAATAATAGTTTATATAAATGCATCTTAAATAAGTTTTCCAGCAAAATGCATGTTAGAGTGTAATGGTAACGCATGTGAAATGCAACTAAAAAGCACAGCACCTGCCACACACAGATGAATCAAGGTGTAAATGTGATGTTTCCAAGGTTTATCAAAATGATAATTAGAAGTACCAAATAAAGTGGCTGTACTTTACAGTATCACGTTTGCGACTTAAAGTCAGGGCTGCAGGAAATGTGAATGGACTACAAGTGCGGTGATCACAGCCCTTGTGTTCCACTGATAACTACAGGATCCTCTGCTGCAGGGCCACAGCTGCGCAAAATTTAAAAAAAGTGAAAGGAGCCACTGGGAAGGGGAACCCTGAGATCCTGCTGGGAGGGAGATTTTTGATGTGGGGGTGGCTTGGCACTATGTTACATTCTAAATATGGGTGCACTACTCATTAGGATTTAACCTCCCAAAACTCAAACTAAGATGTTCACTAAAGGCTTCAACAAAGCTACTCAAACATGCAGAAGGCTTCCCGAATGCTTTGCAAAAGCTTCCCTGACACATTGATCTTCTACAAGCTGACGTCTCTATAAAAACAGTTCTAGCTATGGGTGCCTACTGGACTAAACAGTCATATTTATATTTACTGAATAATTGCTGTAACATGAAGATGGTTGTGAGACTACAAAACCAAGGTTGTGGATA